GAGGAGGTGGTGGGAAAACAGGGGAAGCTGGTGGAACGGTGAGCATTGGGAGACGTGAGCAGGCGTAGTTAGCGAGAGCGTATTGAGAGGCGCATAGTGGACGTGGTGGTGGAATCTGTACGATTCTTTGGCCTCGAGTGAGATAGGAAGAGGAGATACATAGAAGGAGAATAGCTAGAATTAGGAGAAAATGTGTATCCATGGAGAGAGTTTGTGTGTGAGAGAAGAGAGAACTTTGGTGAGTCTCTTTTATATATTCAAGATGATCAAGGAAGGCACAAAGATGGTGGTAAGATTGGTTACAGAGTGAGTTTAGGTAAAATTGAGTTTTCATTTCATCTGCGTGACTTTGTTAGGTTGGTTATAGAGCTTTCTTTTTAGGAGAGTGTTTTACTTTGGCACAACAACAAGAACTGTTCCAAATTCCAGAACCAACTAAATCATAAAACTATAATAGATGCAACTCCAAATGCGTGACAAATGAAAAGCATTTAAAAGCCATATATAACACTTGGATAACAACAACACATACGAAGAAGATGATTCTTAATTAAGATCTGAACAGATGATACTTAAAACAAGTCTAGTTCAATGTCAATATGTAAATCATTTGGTCACACAAAACAGTTTTAGCTTAAATCCAGCTCAATGTGATTGAAACAAGTGCACTCAAAACTGTAATCGGACCGCGATTACCATCTCTCAGATAGTCAAGTAGCCCCAAAACTCTCAAACTTAAGCATCAGACCAAAGCAGTCCAAGAACTATATCTAGAGAAAACACAAGAGGCTGGCTTTGTTTGTAAGTTAATCGCAGAGACGCTCTTCGGGTTCCTCGCTTTTCGCAGCTAACAACATCTCCCTATCTTTCTGAACATCTTCTCTCTGTTTTTTCAATCTATCTTTCCTTTCTTGCCATCCTTCCTCTAATAACCTCAAGAACTTATCCTTAATATCAAGCAAAGGATCTCTATCAATCAACTGCTCATCTTTATAAGCTTCTCTCAATACTGCAGTCTTGATCCCTCCTTTCAATGACAAGTAGAATATACCTGAATGGCGAGTGAAAACACTCGAGAACGCGTTCGAAAACCGGAATTCGTCGCAGAATTTCCCAAGTATAGGCACAGGGACTCTCTTCAACAACGAGAGAGACAACAATTCATGTAAAACACCAACTGTTCGTTTCTCCATTTCCTTAGAAGCTTGATCTAAATGAGAAACATCCTCGTATGGTGATATGTAGTCTTGCTCTAACCAATCCCTAGTCCACTCTCTCATCTCATTCCTCAAGAAAAACCCAGAAGGCAATTTAACATCGAAATTGGGTCGGATTCGAACACCGGTTTTACGGGTTTCTTCCTCCGCTCTAAGCTCGATCGTCGATTTAGCGAATTCAGGATTCCAATCAACTAGCTCGAGAAAAGACTGACCTTCTTCAGGCAAACCATTAAGCCGGAAATAATTTGGGTATTTCCGAACCAATTTCACAAGAAAATCATTCGGAAACCCAAACTCTCTCTTGGCATGAACAAGTTTATCAGCATTGATTACCTTATCTTTCGCCATCATCAACAATTTACAAAGCTTCGAAACAATCAAAGGCTCGTTCTCTGCATAAATCCTCTGTTCTTCGTCGAGGAAAGCTCTGAGACGAGTCGTGGGTCTGACGAATTGGACGAGATCCGATTTGGGTTTGATCCGATCGTAGTAGATCTCGAAGAGGAAAGGGTTCATTTCAACAAAGGTCTTAGCTTTGAAAGTGAGGCGTAATCTCTCGCGACGTTTCTCAAGGTACCTGAGAGGAATGACTTGACCTGGCTCGTTTAGGACTTCTTTCACTACACGAGCACAGAGCTTGTAACGTTTGTCTTGCTCGATTGCTTCGTCTAGCTTCCTGTCTTTCTTCCATACCACTTTCAAGCTCGAGATCGATCTGATTTGATGGCCTAAATTTGGGTTTAATTGTAATGATTTCTTCGAATTTCTCAGAGATTTGATGATTTCGTAGGAAATGGTGAAGTTTCTGAACACCATTTGCTGATTTCAGGAGAGCTACAGAGAAATTAGGGTTTTTCGACTTCTTCGTCGGAGGAAATGGATGCCTGTAAACCCTGGAAGACTGGATCTTATACAACGCGCGAAGATAGCGAGTCATCACCACGCGCCACATTTTCTTTATGAAACTTGTATATATAAAAAATATGTTTTTACGCCAACAAAATCCATGTATAACAACACCTTATGAAGGAAGATCTTTAACTTGTTTACACAGCTAAAGTTTTGGTCTTTTGTTCTTACAAGAGATTTCTGATTACAAAATTACCAAAACTATAATTTAGCATATCAACAACTATCTTTCTATGATCAAAATGATAGTAGATATCGATTTTCGATGATCACAATCAATTTTACATCATACATATAGTAGTGGTAGTATGGATTTCGGTATGAAATTACCTCTATTAAAAAAAAAACAATAAAACAAGTTCTCTTCTTATCTTGCAACTAAACTAAATACATCACCAAGAAATGAGTGAATTAAAGAAGAATTGTTGAAAGAGATTTGATTATTATTAGTCATGGGAGCTGGAGAGAAGAAAGACAGCACATTTCCAGATGATGTAAAGACGAGCCCTTTGCTCCTTTAGCTGCTTCGAACATCTCTTCCATGTCCTAACCTTCGTACTACTACTATTGCATCTCGACACAAATGTTGTCGCCATTGATAATATCGAGAAAATTAGCTTCAAAGTAATGAAACGAAACTATTGCTTTTGATAGGTTTTGGCTTACT